CGGTCGCCAGGCGCAGCTGTCCGTGCACGCCGAGTTCAGGCAGCACGAGCTGCCGGCTGTAGCGCAGAATCTCATCTCGGGACAGGGCGGCCTTCGGCGGCAGGGGCGACACCGGAACCTGCCGCTCTGGCTCTTCCTCCGCCGAAAGAGCCTCCGCCAGTCTTTGCTTCAGGGAACTCAATTCCTTCTCACGCCGGGCAACTTCAGCCTGCAAGGCAAGAACCTCCTCCCTGGCAGCCATGGCGGCCCCTTCCGGAAGTTATCTTGAAAGGCATTTCCGTTTCCGGTTTACAGGTTCCTAGTGCCTGGAATAAACTAAAAAACTTTATGGAGCTTTGGAAAGGGTATAAATAGATATGTGTTTCCTGAAGCAACCTTCAGATTCAACTTGAAAGATTCATCAGCTCTGAATCTTTAGGAGAACTGGCACTCAACCACATAGGCCACCCCCCTCTTTCGGCACTTGGTACGGTCCCACTCGGTTCCCGCCCGCCCGCGTGTACGTCATTCCGCTTCCGATGTCTTGCGCAGTTCCGCCATGGCCTCCGAGGTAGCTGGTCTTAGCCCTCCGAGGTCTCACCGGGAGCCGGAGGGGCGCCCGCGACAGGACAAGTATTCGGTGCTACTGCCCACCTACAACGAGCGCGAGAACCTACCGCTCATCGTGTGGCTGCTGGTGAAAAGCTTCTCCGAGAGGTAGCGTACCCGGCCGCCCTCCCCGAGGAATGAGATGAGCTGGCTTCCCCGGCCTGGTTGCCGGCCGTTGGCTGCGCGAGGCGGCCCTGCTTGGCCCCTCTCCGGCTGGTGGCGGAAGTCTCCGGGAGGCAGCCACCCTGCGAGGGACGCAGAGGCTGATACCTCTGGGGTCCTCTCCGTGTCTCGGGTGCTCCCTCCTGTCCTTGGCTTTTGTGAGACGCTTCTTTGTCTTTGCTGCACATTACCCCCCACCACCATCACCACGAATCCCTTTTTCTCGGAAGGGCTGGCCACTCTTACTTGGGGCGAGGTTGTAAGCCTGAGCTCACTGCTCCTCTAGGTGATCAGCATCAGCGGCGGGCACCGGGAGCCTAAGCGATCACGCTCCCTCTCGCCCCGGTGCCGAGTGCTTATGTAAGCGTGAGTTCTGGTGTCTGGGTTAGGGAGCTGCTGCGGGGCTGGACCACCTTTCTGGAGAGCAGAAGGGCAACATCGCTAATCACTGGTGAATGTTTGTGGTTGTTAGAACCTGGGGCTTGAAAATGTTTATACAATTTTTTTTTTTAAACTGGAAAATCCTGGTGTCCGTACAAAGTAACGTCATTTGTGATTGCACTGATGGGACCATGTTGCAGAAATCTTTGAAGATCTTTCCATATCAGCACATACAAACTTAGAAAATTATTTTGAAAATTAAGTTATATTCCATATGGCTCTGTTATATTTTTATCTAACTGGGTCATGTCAACGAACATAGATTATTTTCAAAGTTTGTTTGTTTGTTTTTTTACATTTGCTTTACAAATGAGAACGAGGACTTTGCGCCACATTTCCCAGCATTTTGAAAAGTGCTTGACACATAAGTGCTCCTTTATTAGATGAGTGTTGCAAGAATCACTCATACTTTTGCTGGTACATGGGGATAAAGTCTTGGGGGTAATATTGCCAGATCGACAGAGATGTGTGTAAAATGGATAGTTATTGCCAAATTACTCTCAAAAAAGATTGTACCAGTTTAGGACTCTCCAGCTTTCTTTAGAGAATGCCTGTTCCCCCGCAGCCTGCCAACCTGAGCATTATTAAACTTACATCGTTGGAAATGTTATTTGGTGAAGAACATTGCTAGGTGTGGGTTTTTTTCCAGCTGCACCATTTTACTGTTAAGTTTTTAATTTAATTTTTTTAACTTAATACTTTGAGATGCAGAATTTTTTAATTGACCAATGTATCTAGTTTAATGATAAGCATTATGAACATTTGTGGAAATACATGCAATATTTACAAGAATGGTGTACATATACTTTTTAATCTAATACTAAACTTTAATTTTATTTTTAAGTTTAGTATTTTGTGTGAATTTCAGATGTACAGCATAGTGGTTAAACAATCATAAACATTGCTGTTCTGATTGTATTTCTTTGAAATGTCTATCTTCACATATATATAGCTCTTCAGGTTTTTTATTCACTTATTTTTTCTCTTTTTAAATTACCTTTTTATTTCTACAGGCTCCTTTCAATTTAGGGAAGTTTTCATGTGGTCAGTCTTGTTCTTGTTTGCCTTCTGATTATACAATATTTTTGCTTTATTTTTAAGTATTTTATGTAGTGCAGTTTATCTTTAAATAGTCTCTGAGTGGATTTTTTAAATCAAAAAGTCCAATGAAGGAAACAACTATTTTTTTGTCATATTCAGTCCCATTACCTAATATCTGCTCAGCTTGATTCCTTTAAGCTACCTGATCCTCCGAGGGTGTACACCAGGTGCCTTGACATAGGTGGGAGAAGTGATTTTGCTTATGAATGACTCAATTTGCTTATGAAGTATATATCTTTCAGCACATCCACTAGAATCTACATCTTACATGTTTTTGTAAAGCACATGCTCCAACTTAAGGCACTGTGGGAAGCTGAAGTCACAGTATCCTCTAGTTGAGAATTAATAGACTGAGTTTTGCTTTCTGGCAAGTTTGCTGGGCCTTTAACATGGAACGTGTGTTCTGGTTGACTTCCTTGCGTGTTTCCTGAAGTAGAATAAGAAGAACCAGAAGTGTGTGTGAGAATTTGGCATTGCCTCCTGTTCTTTCCCCTTAAGTTTCCCAATAAAGTTAAGAAAAGACTTATTTAAAGGGGGTAGTGGCAGACATGATTCATGTATATCCATGTATTATGTTGGCTTGTTTTTAGACTAGAAACTGTCCCTTAAAGACAATGGAGAACAGCAGAGAGATGTTAATTTAGAAGGATACTGAAATCTTTTCTAAGGGTGAAATTAAGTCAGATGTATTCTTGATTATGTTCTTTAAATCATTTCGGATTAAATTAAAAAGAATAACTCAGACATACTCGGTCAATTTGAGTTGTCTTTTAAATATACTTTTGAAATACTTAATAAAGATTCGCTATTAAGGTTCCACAATTCTATTTCCAAAGTAATTAGAATTTCATATGATATCCTATCATATATATACTGTGTGTGTATGTGTGTGTGTGTGTGTGTGTAATCAGTGATACATATCACTGATTTTTTTTTTTTTTAACAAGAGTATGTTTTTAACATCTCTTGTGAGAAGTTTTTAACATCTTAGGACTTTATAATACTGTTTTTAAACAACATGGTGAGTTTGGAGGTGAAGTACTGAATATTTGACATTTCATTTGATAATTAAAGTGTTCCTTAGTGATTAGTATGGCAATAAATTTCCACTCCTGGTTAAGAGTTAGTAATTTTAAAATTATTTTTTTAATTTGGGAATACTGTATTCAAACAATGCAAATTTTTATTTTTTATTTTAGTGGAATCAACTATGAAATTATAATCATAGATGATGGAAGCCCAGATGGAACAAGGGACATTGCTGAGCAGTTGGAGAAGATCTATGGGTCAGACAGAATTGTAAGTTGTGTGAATTTTTTTTTTTTCTTTTTTAAATATATATATCTTTATTGATTTCAGAGAGAGGAAGGGAGAGGGGGAGAGATAGAAACATCAAAGATGAGAAAGTCATCAATCAGCTGCCTCCTGCATGCCCCCAACTGGGGATCAAGCCTGCAACCCGGGCATGTGCCCTGACTGGGAATCAAACCAACATCTGGATCCTAGGTCGCTGGTCAACTGCTGAGCCCCGCCCCGCCAGGCCATGTGAATATTTTTCTATCTTACCAGTTGTGTTTTTGTAGGGAGAAAGATGAGAGATGAACAGTGCTTAAATTTACAGCAAAATAATGAGTGTTTGGATAAACTCTGTTTCTCTGACTGGTTCTGTAGATAAATTTTCTTGAAGGACAAAATTAAAGCATGATATTGAATTGAGAAGGAATATTATAGAACTAGGTTGCAGTTAGTGTGACTGACTTGATCCTTCTTGCTTCCTTTCTCTAGGTGTTCTCATACTTTCAATAGAAAATACTGCCTGCGGCTGAAAGCTTGTAGCTGAGAAAGGTGACTGTTTTCATGTGAAAAAGGAATGGCTTTTCAGAGTACTTGGGATTTTTATTTTTATCTGGAGAACAGTCTTGTGGGAGTATGTTGACTTTCTGAGTCTTAAACTTTAGATTTTCCCACTGTATCTTGGCCTGTTCTGTGGCAGTAACTTAGGCAGATGTAGAGTTCATTTCCTAATGGCTTCACAATTTTTATTTTTGGTCACTGGTTTGGATTTTAAAATGTTTGAGCATACTAGTGAGCTTGACTTTGGAGAATTGTTGCGCCAAAGCATACAATTAAATCCAGATTTAATTAGAAAACACATTCTAGGCATTGGGTATTGTAATTTATACAGACCAGAGTTTCTCAGTCTTGGCGTTCTTGACATTTGGGACCCAATAATTCTTTGCTGTGAGAGGCTGCCCTGTATGTTGTGGGATGATGCTAAACATCTGGCTGGTCTCTAGACACTAGATGCCGGTAGCTACACCCCTCCCCAGTCTGGCAACCAAAAGCGTCTCAAGATATTGTCAGATGTCTCCATATGGGCAAAATTGTCCCCTCCTCTCAATAAAGAAGACATGAAGAAGTCTCTTGGAGAACCTTTATTGATGCTTGCATTTCAAGAAATGGCAGTTAGCAGCATAAAAAATAGTGATTAAATGAAATAATTTCTGTTTAGCTGGTTGGTGGGGAGAGATTAAGGGAAGTGTGTTACTTTTATATACATGGTAAATTTATACTATAGATTCTTCCTATCTCAGTGAGGAGTAACTCACAAATGTGTCACTCTTCCAATCCTCTCTGAATATCTCCTGTTGTATAGAGGTACAGAAGGAGATAAAAAGTTGACAGATTTTCAGTTTCTAGTAGTGACTTCCAGTGATGCTAGGTTCATAGGTTTGGCCAAGAGTTCCTCAGCTTATCTTTTAAAAGTTCTGGACCATGGCCACTGATACGCACTTATTATATGTAGAATACTCCTGAGTTGTATGCTGCCATTTAATCTGGGAACATCAGCCTGACAGTATTTTGAATATTTATGTCATAGAAGCTAAGCCTTGAGGGGTGATTGATTGATTTTAGGAATTGCCTACTAAATTGACCTTCACATATTCTAAAACAACATTGTTCTTCAAAGTGTTCCATTTTCCCCATCGACCCAATAAAATTCAAATGAATAAGAAAAAAAGTTAGCATTTACTATCATGATTTCCCTGTAGTACCAGGGAAATTCCCTAATCATTATTTTATGACCTTTACATCATTTAAACTAGAAAGTTTTTTCATTGTCAGGCCTTATCAGGGATGGCACTTACTTGCTTTTAAGTGACGTGTGTATGTTTAGTTGATGGGAAAGATGGATAAAAATGGTTATTTTTCTCAGATAAAATGGTTCAGCCCAGATGCTCTGTCAGCTAGCCTTTCAAACTGGTTGTAATGAATGTTTCAGGAAAAAGCCAAAAAAAGATTTTTTTTAAAAACTCTGCAGTTGAGGAAATAGGCAAGAGGGTTAGGTTAATTACTTCCCAAGATTGCACAGCTAACCCGTAAATGGCAGAGGTGCAACTATAGAAAAATTAGAGACACATGTTCTGAACTGTTAACAGCAGTTACAGGGCAGGGAGATCTGAGATTGTGGAGGGCTTCAACCTTTCTATGTTGAATGCTTCTGTCATTTAGGATATACGAGATTTATTTCATCCCCAACATGAAATCAGATAAAATCTTGGACAGCAGTTTTGTGCAAATTATTCTCTGCTAATAAAACTCAGGTACTAATGATTGAAAAGACAAAGGGACAGAGAATGCAGTAGCATCAGGGGCCATACTCTGGTGGTTGATACTGTCTCCAGATTGATACTTACCTCAGTTGTCTTCCGGCCATTACTAACAAAAGTATTTATGGTTACGTTTTAAGGAACACAGATCATCATTGGCTAGAAGGCTTTGATATGCTTCTTAAGGGCGATGAGGTTGGTCAAAGACTGTAGCAAGAAGGAACAAGAAGATGGAGGTGGTTTTTGTTCATGTCTACATCTGTACAGTTAGATATTTTCATTACTTTTAAATCATCAAACTTATCTATAGGAGTGAGATTTGATTGATTTGTTATAATAAAATAGTCTGTTCATCCCCAAATCATCTCTAACAAAAACATCAGTACCCCAGTCAAGTGTACAAAAACAGATAATTCATGAAACAAGAACTACACATGGCCAAAAATGGGGGGGGGGATTGAGCCTCTGTGATAAGTAAGAATTGCAAAGTAGGAGGAGAATACCATTAGCCTTTCTTAACTGAAGATTTGTTTTTATTTTTCCTTTTCAACCCATTGTTTTTGAGAGTGTGGTAAAACAGGTTCACTCAAATACTGTTGATCCTCGTACAAAATGATACAATTTGACATGTCATCAGAATTTTCTGTGATAAAAATTTTTACAAAATAAATTTTTTGTCAAGCAAATTATAGTGTCATGTGAAGTAGTTCATAAGCAGTTGTGTTGTAAGCATATTTCAGAGAGTCTGTGCCTAACAACCTGTGAAATTACTGCTTTTTTGACAGCCGAATGAGGTGGGGTGAGCTCTGTTGTACCCTTTACTACCCAGATCACACAGCTAATTAGGTTTGCCCCAGAGTGAGAAGACCAGAAGGGGGAGTAGAATTAAGGGTCTGAAAGTTAAGCACACTGAATGAAACAATTGGAACTTTTCATTATGTAAGAAATAAACAAGTAAATTCTTGGTGTAAAATGTAAATGTTACTGCTAAAACTGAAGTTGCCTTTGAGGAACATTTCCTGATTGCATCCCAGTCTCTTCCCCAGGGTAAAACCCAGTCAACAGTCTGGTGTGTGTAACCTTTTTGTGCATATATGTGTATGTGTCCACACCTTAGAACTAGGTATAGTGCTGGTGGTTTTTTGTTTTTATATATAAATGCAACCTTTCTGTATCATTGTTACTTCTTAATTATATCTTGGAAATCTTTTGTCACCAAATGACCTCATTCTTTTACTGCCACGTAGTATTCTATCATATGCCACATGGTTTTTAGTTTGTATAAACTTTCGAACATTCTGAAACTTATAAATAACAAAATTACCCTTTTTTAAAAATCCTCAAGGATTGCAAAAGGTAGGAGGAGGAGAGACATCAATTGGTTGCCTCCTGCACACACCCCTGTTGGGGCCGGGGATCAAAACTGCAACCAAGGTACAGGCCCTTGACTGGGAATTGAACCCAAGACCCTTTGTTCCAAGGGCCGACGCTTTAAACACTGACCCAAACTGGCCAAGGCCAAAATTATTCTTTATCTGAAACGAAGATTTTTCCAGCTGAAACGTGGGGTTATAGAAAATATAAGGTAAACTTTAAAAGATTGACTTTTTCAGGGCAGAGATCAGATGGGCTCGGTGTTTTGTCAGTAACTCACAAAATCAAACCCTAACATACTTTGTTTGATTTTGTTCAGTGAATTGTAATTATTATAGATGATTGTCTTATTCTCTATATAGGAGCTCATCTGTCAGGAATGTATTTTATCTATCTTTGTTCGTCCCTGAGATCTAGAGCAGTGTGCATGTAGTAAAAGAATTAATCTATCCTGGGTAATGGTAACTGAAAATACTTTGTTTAGAGATTTTCCATCTGAGGCAACCTGCTGATACACTGGCAAATGCAGCATGGGATGAAGTACACTCAGGCAGTGAGTCTTCTTAAGCCCGTGTCTCAGAAGCTTAGAACAGAGTCCAAAACTTGGCATTCTACTTTTTCAAAAGTTTTCAGATAAGATGAAAAGCAACTAAGTCAGGGTTTACAGGTGAAGCAAAAAAGGTAGAAAGACTGAGTAATTGACAGACTATAAGAAAAGAGAATTTATAACCTTCTTGTCTTTGGGCCAGTAGAGAATGAGATGAGGTCATCCAAGGGTAAAGTCAAGGTAAGTTGTTGGAGGAAGAATGATAGCATCATTTAAAAGGGAATTGAAAAAACAAATCTGGCTACCAAGTATTCCAAAAAGGTATAGAATAAGTGAATTAGACCTGCAGGTTTCCTTGAAAGGAATCAATAGATGTTGCTTAAAATTATAAAACAAGTGACAAATATAAAAATATTCTGTTTACGTAGTTTTCTGAGTAGCACCGGGACGAAAAAACATGTAAAATTTGGCTTTTATTGTGAGGTTGGGGCAAAAGAAAAAATTTTAAGTGTGCTCTGCTCTCAGGTCTAAGAAGCGCAGCTATGTTTGTTAAAATGAGTACCACTTATATGAATAAAAAAGAATTTCTAATAGATTTTTTGTTATTTGTGTCAAAGTGTTGTTTCTTATTCTTATAGCTTCTGAGACCACGGGAGAGAAAGCTGGGATTGGGTAAGCAGAACCTCTCATCCCGCACCTGCTTTTTCCTTGGTGAGACTGTTCAGTGTATTTTCCTAGTTTGGAACAGGGCCAAAATACAGTAACCCCCTGTGATGATTTTTAATGATCATAATGACATTTAAATAGCATGAGTTACCTGTGTTAGGGCTCACTTGGGAAAACAGAAACCACTGTAAGTCTTTTAGTATAGGGAATTTAATACAGAGAATCTGGTTACACAGCTGAAGGAATTGCTGAGAAGCCAAATGGAACAGTGAGGCTACTCAGAGATTAGTAATAGCTGGAGGTTCCTACCACCCCAAGATGGAGCAACAGTAGGCGATGTTGGTTTAGAGTCCAGGATCCAACCCAGGCTGCCCAGAAGGGGCTAGAATGATGGAGTCGATGATACCCAGCAGGAGCTGGAGCCATTGAGGATATGCATTCATTGCTAAGAGGCAGACTAAGAGAGGGAGGCTACTTGACTTTCCCCTTCTCTCTCTTGTGCCTCCCAAAGCTGTTTTGGAAGCCAGTTGACAAGTGAACTGGGAAATAAGTTCCCTGCAATATAGGGAAAGGCCAGAGAAGGGATTTGAGGGAAAACATCTTGGGACCGGCACACTGCCTTAGCTAAAATCTCAGATGAGCTCAGTCATTCTGGGATAAAGCTCTTTCTACTGTTAGTCATAGTTTATGTAAAGAATTGGTATAATTTTACTGAAAATTTGGGGGAGTAAAGGAAGTATAGTTCTGAAAAACTGAATATCTGTTATCCTGAAGACTATTAGTTAACTTGCTTCATTAAATTGTTCTGAATATCTAAATCCAGCAGGTTGTTTGGGATTGAAATAATCTGGACACTGCTGTGAAAGCAACCAAGAATTACTGACTGGTCAGTGGTATATCCAAAAAGCTGTGATAGTCACTTTTTAACAAGAAGTTAGAAGAGATCAGCCTTGCTAGTAAGACACTGGTGGTTTGGGGCCAGAGAATGCAGGAATCCCCAAATCCTGCTACCTTACCTGCCAAGTCCCTGAGCAACTTCTAGGCCTGAAGGTGCGAAGCATTTGCTAGCTGTGCCTTTGGCCTCAAATACCTGTGTAGAACACACTGACAAGGGTGGCTTTTGTAGAAATGGGCCAAGAAAGATGGGACGAGCAGAAACAGGGAAACTTGGAAGGGAGGGATCATCAGAAGATGGTGCCTGGGACTAAGATGAAGTTGGAGACAATGAATGAAATTGAGAGATGTTTTTGATTGAGAATAAGTAATATTTAACTATAGTTCAGGATCACCTTTAGAGGACTAATGTATGCTTTTCAGTGCTTAACAATATCTGTTCAGATGTTGTAAGCATTTCTGGTGAGTTTCTGTAATGGAAATATTTTCATTTTCAGGAACTGCATATATACATGGAATGAAACATGCCACAGGAAACTACATAATTATTATGGATGCTGATCTCTCACACCATGTAAGTGGCATATTTCTTTATTAGTGATTTATGATTGTATTAGCCTGTTTTACTGACTTACTGTTTATTTTTTCTAAATTTCAGCCAAAATTTATTCCTGAGTTCATTAGGTAGGTAATTCTAATATTTGAAAAAAATATATGAATCAAGTCATTTGCCTTATATTGATTTTGGACTTATTTTTATTTTTCATTCTTCATTAATTAAAAAACGAACATGGTTTTTTGTTAGCTATCAAAAATAAAACCAACATATGGACTTGAGACTCATGAGTATGTAGGTACATGACTAAATGATGTATTTTAGGAGCCCTGAGGGACTGAGAATAGATAATTCCTTTGTTACCTAGATTATTCCAGACTACAGAAAAAGATGTAAGGAAACTTCCTGTTGAATGGAATTAAGCCCTGCATCATAAGGGTAAAACCCCATGAACAAATAGGGTTTTATTCAGGAATGCCAGATTGGTACGTCTTCAGGAATTCATCAACATTATTTATCACATTAACAAAGAAAGCAGTATGATTAAGTCTGTAGATGCCAAAAGATATTTGATCAAATTTACTAGCCATTTCCAAAAAAAACTTTAAAGTAGAAATAGAAGAAAGCCACCTAAACATGATAAAGGTAACCCAGTCCTGATACAAACCTTTTACTAAATGGTGAAATGTGGAATCATTTCTAATAAATTCATCAAGGTAGGCATACCAGCTACCATTAAACATGGAGATTTTAAGTAATGTTGTAAGGCAATAATTTATATAAGTATTGGTAAAGGATACAAAATTATATTTATTTGTAGGTGATATAATTATATTCTTGGAAAACCAAGAGGCCACAAAACATCTCCCAATAAAGTCAGATTATGTCACTACCCTATTTAGAATAGTTCAGGGAGTTCCCATTAACAGGTGGGGAAATCCACTCTGCTTTTTTTGCCCCTCAAACTTCTGTGTGATTTGATCCCTTCCTCCCTTTCTAAATTTACCTTGTGCTTCTCCCTTTTGCTCTCTTACTACAGGCATACTCCTTCCATTTCTCTGTTCACACAGAGTGCTATGTTCCCTTTACCTGCTCCTTAGTAGCCAACAATTTCTCGTCCTTTGACCTCTGCATAAAGTCACTTCAGAGATAGTCTCTGCTTATATCATCTCCAATACACAAAGCCCCTTTGACCTGATAGGGAAGTAGAACCAGTGGAGTAGAAAATGGAGAAAGTACAAACAGGCCATATGTAGAAGAAATCCAAATGGCTAATAAACCTAAAAGAAGATAGTCACCCTGAGATGTAGTCAGAGAGATGCAGATTAAAAACTGTTGTTATTACCCATTAGTTTATCAAAATTAAAAACTTAATCCAGGAATACATCCAGTGCCAATAAGATGTAGAAGATGAGCACACTCAAATATTACAGGAGAAAGTGAGTTGCTACAACCTTTTCAGAAAGTAGTTTCCAGTGAGATATGTTAGAATCATTTTATCAATTCCACTTTGTTCTACTTTGGGTAGTCTGAGCGGCAGACTTATAAGAATGTTGCAGCACTATTCATTGTGGTTGTGCTCTTAGAAGTGGGGGGACCCGCCATAGAAACAACCATATGAGTATGTGGGTTCAGTAGTCTATGAAATATTTTTTTGCAGCTATTAAAAAGAATAGGGAGATTCTCTTGTAGGGCTATCCATGATTCCATGTTGTATTGTTAACTGACAAAAAGAAAGTTGCAAAATGTACTTCTTTTGGATTCCAATTTTGTAAAAGCAACCTAAAACCATAGAGGTGTGTGTTCTTTAAGTTACCTTTCTGTAAACAAAGAGAAAGGTCTAGAAGGTTACCAGGCTGTTCTGGCATTGTTTAGCTCGGGGGGCCAAGAACTGAATGCAGGGGGATTGTGGAAATTTAATTTTTTTATTATATTTTAGGATGGTTTCACATTGGTGCAGTCATCAAATGTACTGTTTTAAAGTATCAATAAGGAAGAAAAGAATCAGGTTTGAAAACCTTAACTTTGAAAGGTCTTTCAGTAGTATGAAATCCATCTGTTTCCCCAGCATTGCTTGTTCTAGATGCAAGTTCTGTATGTGTAGCTCTTGAAAATAACTATTGAAAGCTCGATAGCTTTCTCTAATTGACAGCTAATTTATTCTACAGGAAGCAAAAGGAAGGTAATTTTGACATTGTCTCTGGAACTCGCTACAAAGGAAATGGAGGTGTTTATGGCTGGGATTTGAAAAGAAAAGTAATCAGGTATATACATGTACTATTATTTCTCTGTTTTTCAGTGCAACTACTGTAAATATGTTTATAACAGGTATTTAGATTAAATTACCATGCTGCCTTGGGATTTGTGGGCTCAGAAGTATAACTTCCAATAAATATTTCCAGATAACTTCTTATCTACAATTTTTCCTATGATTAGAGTATTTTATTTTGGATCTTTTTCACTAAGGAAAAATCAGCATAAACTTTTGAACCTTTGGTAAAAATGGTGTGATTCAGCACAAATTTATTCTATTGAACCCCCTCAGCTTTGATTTTAAGTGAACTGTTCATCTATATTTTAGGACTGTAAAGGTAGTTTTTTTCCATATATTTCATCATTTTAAGTAAATAAGACACTTAATGATTTCAACTTTTTCTAAGCACATAAAGTAGTGAGGCTCTGGAGTCAGACCTGGGTTAAAATCCTGATTGTGTCATTTAACTGCCTGTATCACCTTGCATGTTTTATCTTTTCTAAGCTTTACTTTCCTCATCATAAAATGAGAATGAAACCTGCTGTTTCAGTTTTCTGTTGCTGAATGACGGACCATCCCAAAGCTTAGTGACTTAAAACAACTATTTATTATTTCTTCTGGTTCTGTGGCTTGGCTGGTGGGTCCTCTGCTGGCTTCGCCTGGGCTCACTCATGCAGCTTCCTTCAGCTGGAGAGGCGGGACAGTGTACAACAGTACGAGGCTGCAGCCACAAGGCTTCTTGAGTCCTAGGCTCTGGGGTAACAGCATATTAATTCCTGGTCAAAGCAAGCCCATATTCAAGGGCTTGCAAAGAATTTTTACCATTAGTATTTTTTATCACACACTTCATTCTTGTTGAGGATTCTGTTAATCTCAGTTTTGCCTCTTAACTGTGAACCTTGGGCAAGTCATGTAAAACATGTAAGTGCCTCAATCTTCAGAGAAATGAAGGGGTTGGATAAAACTGTTTTCAATCCTACTGAACATTGGAGTCATGTAGGGAGAAAATTATACACAACTGCTCGCTACTCATGCTTTCTCGTGCACACACATGCGACCATCTCCAGAGGTGGGGCCAAATAGGAGTATTTTTCACAGGCTTCCCAGGGGATTCTATACTGCAGACAAGGTTGAGACCAACAATGATCTCTCAGGCCTCTGCATTTGGTCATTACAGCTGTTATTTTAAATTAGGGAGTCCTAGTCAGAGACAGTTTACAACTTTTAGTTGAATCATTTAGTTGTATCTGTCATTAGTTAATGTCTGAGCTGATGTAAAGTATAAACTCCTGTTATACTCCTGTTAAACTGTTATCACTTTTGCAAGGTCTCATTTATATGGTCCAGAACCGAATTTGAACCCAAGTCTATCTGACTCTTGCTGCATTTTAAGAGACCCTGGTTTAAAAATGTATTACCTTAAATAGATGTACAAATACACACATACACATGTATACATATGCATTCACATTTCTTTGATTACACTTATTTTGGGGGTGTAAACTATGTCCTGGAATTTTTTTATTTATTTATCTTTTTTGTAGCTTTTAGAAGCAAATTGAAGGGGAAAATGCTTTTGTTAGCCATTATCCCAGCTATATCCCTGTGTTATTTATGTAAAAGTAATCTTTCCTTGAGAGGGCCTTGGTGATTACCTTGGCTTTGGAAATTTCTCTCCAGGCTGCCCTAGAAAACATTTTTTTAATCTGAGTACAATAAAATAGCTTCAGTACAAAAGTCATTTTTTCCAAGAACACTTCACATCTTTTTGAAATGTTAATAATAGCTGTTAGTAATAGCTTGTAATTAATTGATACTTAGTTGTGTTTGAAGCACAGGCCCTAAAGTCATTGTTATGGATTCAGTATGCCTGCCAAAATTCATGTTAGAGTACCTTACCCTGAAAGTGTTGGTATTTGGAGGTGGGACCTGGGGGGGG